TCTTAGAGCAAGGCGGAAGACCTTAGAAGTAAAATATTTCTAAAACAAGATGTGAGGAGACGGAATAATGGTGATTTTAACAGAATTACTTCCTTTTTTTAAAAAACAGTTCCAAGCCGGAATCGATATTTTGAGTAATGCCTTAAACAATTTTAAGATGGTATTCGAAGGAAGACGGAAATATGTGAAATAATTATATACTACTATTACAGACCGTTTGTCTCAGTCCGTAACAGTAGTATAGCATCTCTAATTTGGTATCTGTGGAAAAATAGACTGAGATCCAAAGTGACGAAAGCATAAACCGACTGTCTGGCTTGCGTATCCCGCAAGTCCCGCCTGCTCGTCCGGAGTTGGCCACACGCCGCCCGGCCTGGCCATGCCGCCACGCCGATAGAGGACCCACAACAATCGGGTGGGTGACGCAACGGCGCAGAAAGAGAAGGGGGGGGCGAGGTGTTTTCCTAAATTTCATTTTACGACGCTATTCGTCCGATTTGCATGATTGTCACGGCGTTGGATTGAGGAAGCATGTCGCTCCCGCGCCATATGCCCGCATTTTTTAATTTTTCTCGGAAGCTCGAGAACTTATTTCAAATTCGAATTTTTGCTAAGTTTTGGGGAAAAGGGCTCTCTATTTTAAAAAGGCGTCAAATGACGTTTACAGATCGAAAATCGGACCATTGGTTCAGACGTTATCAGTAAAGTACATTTTACTTATTTTGGTGCTGCCACGTGGTGGCTACAAATTGTACTAGTGTCGGGACATTTAGCCTTACGAAGACCACTCCTTTCCGAGAAGAGTTTTCTATGGAACGTAATAATTATTACATAAGACCAATGTGTTTTGCCCCCTTACAAACGGCCACACCTCCTCCTGATCAATGACTACGAATTTTGTCGTAAATGTAACGTTGAATTCCCTTTAAGACGACCAGAAAACCTCTCACAGTAATAATAAATAAGGGACATCACGTATTATTGTAAGCAGACAGGCCGGATACGGTGTCATTCAAATAAGCACAGCGATTGGGGGGCAAGAGATATCACGTTTACTCCGAAGATGGGACCTTCCAGGAAATGTAGAGAAATTATCGCGTTAATTGAAAGATAATTTGACAGAAGCAAAATAGTGTATCAGTTTAACGATAATCAGGAGACCACCTTATACCAATAACTAATTTTATAAAGAAAAACAATTCTTAAAGTACACTGTTCTATTCTTTTTTAAATCTTATTAATTAATAAATGTAGTTAATCAAAAACATTTAATGGTGCAAAACAATGAAGCTTTCATTTGAAACCAGAATAGTGTTACGATGCCTATCGTAGTAGCCGCAGCAGCAGCGATGAGTACAGTTTAATAGTCCGATGTTCTCTTTAAGATGACCATCCTTCTAAAAGATCAATTTTAAGGCATTAATCTTGTGGTCAACTTAAAGATGATTCACTGTAGCTAACAACAAATAAAATGAAATGTAACAGTAACGTCACTTCATCCACAGATATTAAATTACGGTAAATTCGCGAAGACGAAGAAAGTAAGGAACAAACGTCCTGCGAACCCCGCCAACATGGGCCCTTGATGGGAAGCCAGGCTCTGCCTGTCACAAGCCAGGATGAAGAAAGGAGTGATAGAGGAGTAAAACATCTTTAAAAAAACCTAGGCCCAGCTGGCCCCACTGGTAGCCCCTTGTAAGGGCCCCTTGCCAGGGTTACGGTGAAGACTTAAACGGCAGCGAAGGTGGAAAAGGATTCCTTGTCATCGGCTCCACCGACGGAAGAACTCCTACAGTGAGCGATTCTGTGGGGAAGGCATTCCCTAAGTTCGGAAAGGAAAATCTGTCTAAGGGAACGTCGCCCTAAAATCAAATGAGGCCTGTTTGGAGGCCGCAAATTGGCACTACTAAACTCACTCAGCGATGGGACTAGTTATCCATCCTGAGGATATAAAAATAAACTTTTAAGCTTCTCAGATGCTTAGAAATCGGAATGTACTAGTTGACGGAAAATGGAAGAAAAAGGTTAAACGATTTGGATTAGTAGATCAACTAAATGTAGCTACCTGGAATGTTCGAAATTACCTTATCAACAAAAGAAACTGAATTAATATTACATCTTAAGAATAAGAATATCAATGTAAGAAGTGAAACAAAAAGAAAATTAAAGGGTACAAATGATGTTGGGGATCATGTAATGCTATACAGTGGTGTAGAAGATGAGAAAAGAGCAAGTGCCGGTGTCAGCAATATTGTAGATCCTAAATGGAGAACAAAAATTAAAGAGTATACTTTTGTCGCTGAAAGAACCATATCAGTTCGATTTAAAGATCAAAGATCTAACGGTGATTGGTGTATAGGCACCTGAATAAGAACGAAAATTGGAAAATGACATCTTCTATGAAGATCTACAAAACACCCTTGACAAAAATATACAAGACAAATGAAGTTAAACCGGTGATTTCAATCCGAGAATAAGTAATCACAAGTTGTAGGCACATTTGAAGAAACTCGTGTGAATGAAAATGAGGTAAAGATTAAGAGACTTCAACAACAAACGGACTTAAAACCACAAACACTTTCTTTAGAAAGAAAATGATTAATAAATATACTTGGAGCGCTAGAGGATTTCAGTTACTCATAGACTATGCTATTGTAAACCAAAAACTATCACCAAGAGTGAGAGATACCCATGCTGATATTTACTCAGATCACTGTTTAGTAGTGACAAAGATAGACATGCTTGCAAAATTCTATTATTGGAATTTCAGACACAGAGCTCCAAATGAGAAAGTGTTCAAGACACACCTGTTAGAAGAAAGGAGTATAAGAAATCTATATGAAAAGAGGCAAACATAAGCACTAAAACGAAACCCTAAGTGCGATGATATAAAGGATGAATGGAAGATCATAGAAAATAGTATCCTAAGAGTCGCCTATGAAGTCTTAGGGAAGAAAGAAAAAAATATTAGACGTAGAGGTCCTAAAATATGGGATGATGAATTTAAAACAGCTACTGAAGAAAAAAGACTATCGTACATGAGATACAGAATGATACTGAAGAAACACAAAATCTTTACCACCAAAATGTGGCTAAGAAAATTACCAGAAAAGCTCATTAAGACTCCTGGAATCGTTTTATCACTAGGATAGAGAAAGATATCCATGGAAGGTAGACATTGGCATTTAAAGCTCTAAGACACTTAAATGCCAAGGAGAAAGATACTGAAAAAATGCCTGGTAAATCGGAGAAAGACTGGAAGGAGTTCTATCAGAAATTATGGACAAAAGATATAGATGATGGCATAGATCAAAATCTAAATAACTATGACATTTATGAAGTAGATGAAATATCCAAACATGAGCTTCATAATGCATACAAAAAATTTAAAAAAACAGAAAATCCACAGGATATAAGTACAGAGCTTTCCAAACATGGAGGAAGTTGGAAACATGGAAAAAATGCTGATTTTGTTAATAAATGTTGGAGAAAAAAGAAAATCCTTGAAGAATGGAAATTAGCCAAATTTATACCATTATTTAAAAAAGGATCAAGATGCTCTTCTGACAACTACAGAAGAATTAGCCATATAAATACACGCTACAAAATATATAGTAAAATTCTAAATGAAAGATTAAAACATATCTCAGAAGCTCTATTATTAGACGAGCAAAGTGGCTTCAGAAAAGCACTTACACTGGCGATGTTAAACAAATTAACTAGTAACTATTAAACAAATTTTCGAAAAAAGAAGGAAATTTAATTTAGAGACACACTTAGCCTTCATACACTATGTCAAAGCTTTCGATAGACTGCTAAGAAACAAATTATGGAACCCCATGTGTAAAAGAGGTTATCCCATATATTTGATATAGGCAATCCGACAAGTATATAAAAACAATAAAGCAATCATTGACATTGGATGAAAATGTTCGCAGGAAATTTTTATACATCAAAGCGTAGACAAGGTTGCAGCTTATCACCGACATTATTTAATATTTATCTCGATGATATGATATGCGAATGGCAATCTAATGTTCCACAAGGCATCCTACTCTCAAATAATATCTCAAATAACACCTTGCTGTTCGCAGATGACCAGATCATTCTACAAGAGACAGAAGATAATTTGCAGAAATCGGTACTATACGCGCAAGTTTTCTTGATATTCCACAACGGGGGGGGGGTGCGGGGAGAGGAAGGTTCTGACTACGTCACGGCTTAAAAGGGAGTACCATCTGTGGGCATGAACTTAACGCCCCAAAGCGTGCCACGAGATATGCTACGATTGTTTTGAAAGTACGAGATGGTTATTGCCAGCACTGTAAATTTGTACTTGCCATTCCGAATCTAACCTAAGGAATTCAACGTGCCGTGCTATTCGGCGCTGGTTGAGGACTAAGGTGCTAGTGTATCAAGAAAACTTGCGGGAGTAATACATTCCCTCCAAAGAAACGTATATGAATATAACATGAAAATATCCGTTCCAAAAACAAACTATGGCTTTCCATGGAAAATATCCTGTCAGAGGTAAGATCGTTGTGGATGGACACATTCTAAAATAAGTATAAACATTTAATTACTTAGGTTGTAATACTTCTTATGAATGGGATGAATAATGAAATAAATTACATTTCAAAGAATTTGGGGATGTATTAAAAAAATATAAAAAATAAAACAAGAAAAACTCAAATAAAATTCTACAATATAATGACAGTATCTTCACTTCTCTGTGGCTCAGAGCCACGAGTTACTCGTAAGAAAGATGTGTAAAGAGTATAGGCAGCTGAGATGATCTTCCTGAGATCTTTTAAAGGTTGCACTAGATTCGATAGAAAAAGAAATACTGACATACAAAGTGAACTCAATATCATCTCACTAACCACTCGTATAGAAGAAAATAAAACGAAATGGCAAGAATACCCAGAAAGAATGACCGATGGAAGATTACCAAGAGAAGCAATGAAGCAATTAAATAACTTATAGGTTATTCAACTTACCGATACGTTTATTGAAGGATCTTTCTGTTAAAAATGAACTAATAGGTCTTCCTAGAAAGTCATCACGTTTTAACACCTCCCTCACCAATTTAGGGTCGCAAACAGCAACACTCAATCCTAAGTGCCCAAATACTATACCAACAAGACCCCCATACTGTTCACGCCATTGCTCCATTTGGAAATGTCCATTTGTCTTCGGCATGAAAAGAATAGATCCAAAGACGGGAATGTACGGCAGTCCTAAACAAATAAATATGAATAAACTCTCAAAACTTAAAAACAAATTATGTTTTTGATACATTTTAATCATCTCTCTAAAGGTAAGCAAAAAAGATATCATCCAGTCTAAAAAGAAAAAAGTGAAGATGGAGGATCCTTTCATAATATTAATGTGTTAAAATATTTACATGTAATGATTTTTTTACATTAAATTATTTATTAAAATTATTGAATTCAGTGTTGGAATGCATTTGATTCTAGAGAAATTGGCAAATTTTACTCTTCACAAAATATGTTAAATTTGAGTATATGTAAGGTTCGATTAGGTTATTAAATCCTAATCGATTAGGCTATACAATGAAGAATATGGAAAACTTATTTGTAATTTTAGTTTTGAAACGTCATTTTTAAGATGTACATATTAGATAGGAAACAAACATGTTCCCTGTAAACTTTATTTGATGAAACAAACTTTTTTACTAGACAAATAACATTCTATTTGGATTTATTTCATACCTAATTAATTAATAAAATATAATTTTTAATAAAGTGAAATACAAAAAACAACACAGAAACTCCAGAAAAATAGGAAATGTTCAATTCATCACTTGTGTAACACAATTTTTTGTTGACTCACTTTAAAAGAAATCTTTTGCTTAAATCTGGTCCTATAAACGTGAAAATTGGCAGTTATTGCTGTAAATGAAATACTGTCTCCCAAAATAGTTTGGATTAGTAGTTTACTACGATATTTTATTTCACAGTAAATAATTTCTTCGGTGCAGCTTTAAATGATTAAAGTTTTGCGTACCTGGTGGAAAGTTAGGTGGTTTCATCTTGATCCAGGAGTATATAATACATAAAATAAGAACTGTGAAGATCAAGAGAATCATGGTTGATTCTTTCTATAATAAACAAAGAAACAATAAATTGAGGTGTAAGCTAATAGTATGTATTAAATGAAATATATAAATAAAAAATATACAAACACAAGCAAATTTGTGATGCAACAACAGCACATACTTTCTTGTATTATTTGCAATGAGTATGTAATATAACTAAATATTCAAACATCTCTAAAACCTTTCATAAGCAAAAAAAGCGTGGAAAATTCTAATTTGAAATTATCTAAATTTCAGTATTTAGGGTAAATATTTGTCTCAAAATACCGAATGATCGAAAATAATCCTTTTTACTTTATCATGTATGTAGTACAAAGAAAGCTATGTAATGCTTCATAAAATGTATGTCGATATTTTGACGGATATCGTTTTAGGGGTCCCTGATAACAGAGATTACTCAATGTTCACTGATTGATTTTTTGCAGACAGCTGCTGTGTGGTCATTAATCCCGTTAGTATAGTGAGTGTTGTATCACGTGATGTGTTGGTGTTCCTCCTCCATCACATAGTGATAGTGACCTATAATAGGTTCGACGACTGTACGCAAATAAAAGCGGCAGAAGTTCGGCTTTCATTCATATATTTTAATTTTCGAAAATTGCAAAAGTTGTTGGTGTTTTGGACCCCTCCTACAACTACATTATTTATGATAGAGAGTTTTTCTATAAATTAAATCTGTTCTTCACAATTTATTCAAATATATGAAGTAAATTTTTTCAAAATATGTGTATTTTCGCATAATTTGGGGTGAAGTAGTTATAATTTTTTTTTAAATATGTAAACATTCCCTCAACAACGGCCCCAATTTTTTCTTTAAATATTTTGCTCCAATAAAGAAATGTTTGCATAATAATTTGGCGTAGGTAAAAAAATTAAACATTTTAGAACTTTGAAAATTGCAAAAGTTCAATTTTATTCGAATTGGCCTACATTTCAATATTGAAGGTTGAGGCTCATTTTGAAACATATTCCTCAAACTTTGAATTTTGAAAGTTCAATTTTGTTTCGTATCTGTTCTACAAATTAAAGTAGAGATTTGTTTCTTAATGCAATATATTATCCAATATTAGATATTTAAAACGTTTTTTTTTAATATTAGTAGTTTTTGCGTAACTCATTTATATCATTTGAATTTTTGAGTGATGGACGAAGTATTATTACGATTGAAGGTGCACTAAAATAAAATGTAATTGCTATCAATAATTCGAGAAATTATGTGCTCTTGTGACACCTCAGGTTTTAAATTCCTTTCCTAATGTTTGTAACCCATGAATGTTTTCTATATTAGGGGTTACGAAATGTTTTTGCTCATGGTACCCTTCAAATGGCACATTGTACACAAAATTCTTATTACAGTCATGACGTAACCTCCTATAAGGAAATGAAACCTTGATTTCGCGCTCCGAATTACACACAGTACCTAGCGACTTCAGTGTTCCTTAACTACTCATACCTTACCTTAGGACACTAGCAGCTACGACTCGTGGTGACTGGAATGTGAAAGAAAGACGTGAGAATCGGCGGGATCTCTCGCGTTCTCGGCCCTGACTGGCACGAGCACTGCCGAGGCCTGACGAGTCGACTGATGTTAATTTACGATTGCCGCATTAAAAGACCAGCGGCCAATAGGAAGCTCCTATGGACGATGACCGCTCCCACAACCGTGGCCTTGCATCTCATAGCTACGCAGTTCTTTCTCATCGATACAAGACCGGCGGAAGGCATACGGTGAATATGTGACACATCCTACTCGTTTTTTTAGTTAGTAGTTAGTATTTTAACACTTTGAGCGTCATGGTATTATTTTCATACACACCCTGCCCTCGGTCTCTATTTAAAATATTTTTTTCTCGTGTACGTACGTAAATACGGCATAATTACATAGTACGTATAACAAAAGTTGTAGAAAAGTTAATGCTGCGGGAAATCGATTTCCAGTTTTTGACGGCAAAACACATTTTGGGGTCCCCTGATATCGGAAAAGTATATTTATTTTCAAATCATCGTTCCGTCTGTCTGTCTTTATCAATATGTCTGTTTGTCCGACCGATCGGGTCTGAAAAACAGGGGATTTCTTTTCTTTTTTTCTCCTTTTTTTCCTTTTCTTCTTTTTTTTCTTTTCAAAAATGAATATTCCCGAAACGATTAAGCCATACTGTACGCTCTGCAATTTTAAAAAGATTTGTTTTACACTAACTAAACAACAAAATCTAATAACTATACAACTACACGACTAATAATTAAACACTAATTATCTCGGGAGTCAGCTATTCCCAGCTACGCTAAACGTTATTGTGTCGTTTCTGCCTCTTAGGGAAGGAGGTTCTGAGGGAAATTATCCTGCTTCAACCGCCGTGGAGAACAAGGTTCATTGCTCCCGGCCATTAACACTTCATTAACATTTCATTCACACTTACGCGCTAAAGACGAGTCGTGAGAGAGAAACGTGCTCATCAAACATCAGATTTCTAGGAGATTCTGCTGAAAAGATGCTCTTAGATACTCTTTACGTTGAATGAAGAAATTTTAACTTTCTTGAATAAATGGATTTCTTATTGAAATGTCAAAATCACTGAGAAGATACTAATATAAATTGTCTTGAAGGTTTATCACGTAGGAATTTCAAATTTACGAGTTTTTTGTACCAAACCAGTTTTGTTCTTGTGTGTTATTACTCGACGAATGTTTCTCTTCTCGTCAAATCTCTGGTTCTACAACACAAAAACCACTTAAATACTTAAAACTGTAAATTATTGAATCTTTCACTTTTTCACATTTTCTCAGTTTGAATGCATTCAGTACATTCTATTAACTCGTAGTGCTTCAAAATGGAACAGACTTTCTCGTACTAGGTACTCTGAAAAAATGACCATTTCACACTGAACCACAAACCTATTGTTTTTCCGTCTTCCTGTTGGGACGATCGAAATAAAGTTTGTGACAATAATTATCACCGATGACGTTCCCATGGTTGGTTGTAGTTCTAATCTAGCACCGATTATTGGAAAATACATGGGGCGCAGAACCACACATATTCATTTTCATTACTTCCTATGGGTTTCCACTAAATATGCGTTCACACTACGCGAGCTAACACTAGCGAACGAACAATTCTCCGTTCGCTCGGCCGGTGGAAACGAAACTACCGAGCGAATCGTGTCGTTCGAACGTGGTATTGAGCGAGGAGCGCGCGTCGAGTGAGGACTGACGTCACCACTTGAACACTGCGAACCTAACTC